GAATCTAAGCCCAGGAACTAACTACAGTGTCGCAGTCAGAACGAAAGCTGCAGAAGGAAGTGAATCTACGGTGGAGAAGGGATTCAGTTACACAAGTAAGAACTAAGATATAAACTCAGTCAAACTGTTGAAGTATCAGTGCTGTTTGGTCTGTGTTTTGTCACTTGAATACTTCAAACTGCAAATTTCTACAGTGCCCAAACCTGTGACCAACATCACAGTGGAGAGTGTGACCACGACCTCCATCAAGCTAACGTGGTCCAGACAAAATGATTACAAGCCTTCCTACTCCTACCTGGTCATAGCGAGACAGAGTGGCAGCGAGATAAAGAATGATTCGACAAAGAATGAGACGTACACCTTCTATAATCTGACCTCTGGAGAGCTGTACACATTTTCTGTGTTCACGGTTATAGCAGGGGTCAAATCCACAGAGGAAAATACACAGAGTTACACAAGTATGTCTTAAAAATCTCTGAAATGTGCTTCAAAGTCAAGTCTTCCTAATCCATCTTGCAATTTATAGTGATCCCCAACAGACTGTCAGAGCTTGGTTATATGTGATATTGTATTATTTATATGGATAGCATTTTTTTTCTTAAAGGGGAACTGATAAGAGAAAAGAGTTCCAGGCACCGCAGGCAGATATAGAAGCTCCAGTAAAGCTGAAGCCTACAATTTTCATAAAAAGTTTTCCTCCCTGTTTGACAATCAGTAGCCGTTAGCTCGATACCTTTGCTCTTTAGTTTCTATCCTTTCTGTGAAAGGTCTCAACCCCGAGCCAAAATATAACATCATCAGGGTTTTAGTGATGTTATATAAACTTCTAAAAGTAAATCTTTAAACATGTTTTTGGTCAGAAAACAAGTAATTTGGTCGACATTTTCTTTGTGTTACTACTCAGCCCCTATTAGTCCAATACTAATGTTCATTTAATTTGAATCTTCTTTTTTATCCAGTGCCTGAAGCAGTCTCAAACATTACAGCCGTAGGAACCACAACTAGCCTTTCAGTGAGCTGGACACTGGTGACAGGGAAGGTCTCCAGTTACAGTGTTGTGCTAAATAGTGCTGGACAGTTAGTGAACAGCACGGATGTAAACAATCAAACTACAAACACAGTCTTTGGGAGCTTGACACCAGGAGTAATCTACTGTGTCCAGTTGATCACCAAAAGTGGACCTTTTCAGAGTAACAGTTCACCTGTCTGCAGCGCAACTTGTGAGTTTCATTGACAATCTGACTTCTACCTCAAATTGTATATTCAGCATTTTTTATCAACACCTATTTTAAAAATGCATGTATTGTTTGAATTAATTGAATTAATCAATAAAATAATTAAATCCTTCTCCTTCTTCAGTTCCCAACCCTCCTGGCTCCATCACAGTGCAATCTCAGACTGTTAATTCCATCAACTTCACCTGGGCCCTTCCACAGAACATGAACCAC